GCTCTTCGTATTGACATTTTATGCGGTTTATATTTTGGTCAATCTATATTGGAAATTGAACCTATCCATTGTTTCGTTTTTTTGTTCGGTTTCCTCGTGTAGTCAGCGTTTTTTAATTTCGTGGAACCAAAAGTGGAGGAAATTTCAAATATATGCAGCTTTTTCATAAATTAAATTTCCAAAATAAATGCAAATATATGGCAAAATAGCCTTCGGATTTGAAAAAAAGAAAGAAAATAAGGGCCTTCAGAAGAAAAAAAAATGGTGTTCTAAAATTGATAGTTTGGTCACGTCATAAGATGATGATTGAGGAGGAAATTTCTACGTAAACCCATGTTAATAGCTGCATCTTTAGATTAGTCATTGGAAAAAAAAAACAAATTCTAGAGAATATTGTAAAATTAAATAGTAAATTTTCATAACATTTCTAAAACTTTTGCGATGAACAAAGGAGAATCGACATAAAAATACTATACTTTTTTCATGTTAGCGATTAAATACTATATTTTTTCTAAGCAAATAAAACCTGAATTAATTATATTTGATCACTAAATTATCGTATTTTAAAATTATTAGACAATATACCTTTATTTCGTAACAATAATGACGAAAGACTGACGTGATATTAACGAAACTGTCAATCACTCTCCTTCCCCGCCCACGGGCTCGAACATGGACCTCTAAGACAATTGACTCCCCTAACCACCTTTACAACTAGAGTTGCAACCAATGAATTTCCCAATCTTTCATTTGTGGTTATTAGGATATATTTTAAAATAATTTAAAAAGATTCTAAAACTTTTTAAGAAATTTAAGATAGAGATGATAATATCTTGTTATGTCATTCTCTGAAAAAAAATTGTTTTAAAAATTCATTTCAAATCCTATAAATCATGTTATGTCAAGTTTTATTATATTATACCATTTTTTTTTATTTTTTTGTGTTTGTTATGGTGATCGACGTATATTGATGGTAATGGTGACAATGGTGATGATTGTTATGTTTTGTTGGTCTTGTTAGAGTTCGATGTATCAATGGATTTGGAGATAGATGAATAAAAAGGGAGTGAAACATAAAAGAAAATTGATATGTAATAAAAAAAATCTACGAGAGAGAAGATAATCTAGCGGTGATTGTGACAATATCACAATTATGGTTGCAACATTTTGATGTTAAATCCAATGGTTGGTGGTCCAGTGGTTGAGAGATGATAAAGTCATCCTCAAAATTCTGGGTTCGATTCCACTGGTGGGGAGTGATATAATTTTTAGACAAAAAATAGTCCATATATAAAGGTTGATCTCAGGTCTAGGGTGGATGTAGTCGGGTCGAAGGTCTAGGAACAATCTTGGTTATAAAAAAAAATATATTTTGATGTTAATTTGGTTAGAAGGATGGTGGAATTGTAGAAGTAGCGAGAGAATAAAATCTAAATGGTTACATAATAAAGACAGATATATTTTTTTTTAAACTACTAAGATAAAGGATAAAAGAAATGAATTTTCTGATAGACAATATTGAAACTTAGGGGAAAAAAGTATATAGAAATAAAATGAATACTTTTAGTATTTACTAACAAAAGCTCCAAGCCTTTGTCTGCAACATAGAGTGGGCTCTGTCTAGGCCCAACATTTACCACAATTCCCCAAACTCCATTAGCCCTCATGGTATAGAAAGAGGGAGAATGTGTTGTAAAGAGAGAGAGAGAGAGAGAGAGAGAGAGAGAGAGAAATCTAAGGCAAAATCCCAAAGGCAAAGCTGATTTGATTTGTCGCCAAACTAAACTCAGTGTTCTCTGAAACAAAGCTTCTTCTTCTTCTTCAAGGTTTCTCTCTCTCTCTCCAATGTGTACCCAAAAGCGGCTGTCCTCTCTTCCCTCCTCCTCTCTCATTCTTGAAAATTTTCAGAGCCCATTTCAACTCTCATTCTTCTGACACTCTCACTTCGTTAGACCATGCCCTGTTTGCTTCCGACCGGATCTCCATTTTCTCTCTGTCTCTGCTTCCAACCTCGCCGGGAAAATCTCGTCTCTTTTCTCAGTAACCAAACACACAAGCCCACCATAACAATCCGCCATTAACGATGGTTTCTCTGTTGTCCGTCACTGTTTACTTGTTTTCCCTCTTCAGCACTCTCTCTCCACTCACCGAATCCACTTCCCTCAACACCACTCTCCCTCACCAACACCCATTTCCCGATTCCGTCGCTCTCGATGTCCTAAGGTAAATGCTCTGGTTCCCCACACATTTTCCCGGAAAATGCTGGATTTTCCCGGAAAACCGAGCTGCATTTCTCAAATCTTTTCCTCTTTTTCTCGCAGGAGAGTGAACGCGTCGTTTTCACGGAGACGCCTAGGATCTTCGCCCTCGTCGTCGTCGTCGTCCTCATCGTCTTCGTGCCTCACCGGGAACCCGATCGACGACTGTTGGAAATGCGATCCAAACTGGTCATCGAACCGACAAAGGCTGGCAGACTGCTCCATCGGCTTCGGTCGGGGCACTCTCGGCGGTAAAAACGGTCGGATCTACGTCGTAACAGACTCCTCCGACAACAATCCGGCGAACCCAACTCCCGGAACCCTCCGACACGCCGTAATCCAAACGGAGCCTCTCTGGATCGTCTTCTCCGGCAACATGTTCATCAAACTCAGACACGAGCTCATTATCAACAGCTTCAAAACCATCGACGGTCGGGGAGCGATGGTCCACATCACCGGAAACGGCTGTCTCACTCTCCAATACGTCCAACACGTGATCATCCACAATGTCCACATCTACGACTGCAGACCCTCCGGCGGCGATCCAAACTGGTCATCGAACCGACAAAGGCTGGCAGACTGCTCCATCGGCTTCGGTCGGGGCACTCTCGGCGGTAAAAACGGTCGGATCTACGTCGTAACAGACTCCTCCGACAACAATCCGGCGAACCCAACTCCCGGAACCCTCCGACACGCCGTAATCCAAACGGAGCCTCTCTGGATCGTCTTCTCCGGCAACATGTTCATCAAACTCAGACACGAGCTCATTATCAACAGCTTCAAAACCATCGACGGTCGGGGAGCGATGGTCCACATCACCGGAAACGGCTGTCTCACTCTCCAATACGTCCAACACGTGATCATCCACAATGTCCAAACTGTCGACTGCAGCCCCTCCGGCGGAGCCGTCGTGGCTTCGTCGCCGACTCACGCCGGGAAACGAGGGAGGTCCGACGGAGACGGGATCTCCATATTCGGGTCGCAGAAGATCTGGGTCGACCACTGTTCACTGAGCCACTGCACCGACGGGCTAATCGACGCGGTGATGGGCTCGTCGGCGATCACGATCTCGAACAACTACTTCTCGCACCACGACGAGGTGATGCTTCTGGGTCACGACGACAGCTACATGATGGATTCGGGGATGCAGGTTACGATCGCGTTCAACCATTTCGGGCAGGGACTGGTTCAGAGGATGCCGAGATGTCGGAGAGGGTACATTCATGTCGTGAACAATGATTTCACGTCGTGGAAGATGTACGCCATTGGAGGAAGTGGTAATCCCACCATTAACAGCCAGGGGAATCGCTACACTGCGCCTTCCGATCCAAGCGCCAAAGAGGTGAACATCAAAATTCCTCGATTTCACTCTCCGATTCAACTTTTTTTTTACCGTTCTTTCTTTTTTTTTTTTTTTGCGATGAAAATGATGAAAGATAGCATGAATTGGGCAAAAGGTTGTCCTTTTTCGAATGAATTAATTTTTGAAAACGACCCTGTTTTAGATATTTTTTGTTACTAAACCCTAAATATTTATATGTTTGAGGTTTAGATTTCTTTTAATTGCGTATTAAAGATTATCCTTTTGGATATTTTCATACATTTTCGTAATTTTTTTCCCCGAGTATATAGCTCTAATTCTGTTGCTTAGCATTTGGAAAACACGAGTCTTGCTCGTTCTTTGCTTTTTGGTTGTTGTCCTGAAAGTTTTAGGTTTATACATTTCTTTTTCTTATGTTTAAGCATTTAATCAGTCATATTTAGTTTTTTAGTATTCTATGACACAACACAAGCCCTAGTTTGTTTTAATAAAAAAAAAAAAAGAACTTTACACATAATCTATTGAATTTGGCCCCAAATTGTCGAAATTTCAGTTATTTCTGCAAATTAATTATAATGTAGGGTTGAAACCCGTGAACTCTTTTTTTTTTCTGAAAAAGAATTTGTGAACTTTTTTTTTTTGGGTAATGTCATTCGTCATTCGTACTGACTGCTTAGTGAATCCAGTTAATATCCAGACGACGAGTAGGTCTGCTTCTGTTTTCCTCGCTGTCCCCTTTTTGTATCATTTAAAGACGAAAGAAATATCTCAAAATATCGAAATTTCCCAAAGTTTTAATCTTTCAAGTAAAAATGTTCACATCTTTTTCGCACTTTTTTTATAAAACAAATATAGTATATAATAAATTAGTGAATCCAGAGAATCTTTACCCTACGGGGCAGAGTGGACAGAGCGGTGGATGACAGCCAACCATGTGGTCTGCTGCTCCTCTGTCTTTGTATTGTATTGCATTGTTTGTCCTTTCACTTTTACGCTTTTAGGGTTTCACGCGCTGCGGAGGCGCGTGGCTTCCAAACGCGGTCGCTAAGAATTTGGGATTGTGGATTGAAAAAGGTGACGAAGAGGGTGGACACGAGGGACGGGGATTGGGCGGACTGGAACTGGAGGACGGAAGGGGACATGATGGCGAACGGAGCTTTCTTCGTGCCGTCCGGAGATGGACTGAGCTCTCTCTACTCGAAGGCCTCCAGCCTCGAACCCAAGGCCGCTGCCCTCGTCGACCACCTCACCCTCAACGCCGGTGTCTTCGGTGGGCCCAGGTACTTTTCCCCACTATTTCTTTTAAATATTTATTTAGATTTATAGGATAACACCTCAGTTAATGGGATGCATTAATCATATTATATACTTAGAACAAAATGTAGTTTTAATCTCCTTATATTGGTATGAAATTGTAAAAATAACCTTTGGCAAATATATACTTGTTAAATATTGAAGAAAAAAGGACTTCGTAAATCTAAAATTGTTTTACATGTTGGAGTTTGGAGGTGTTTGTGGGTCCACCTGATATTGTCTAAATCCACTTGCATTTTTTTTATATAAAAGTTCTTTTACGACCTATCTAATCTATATACGCGTCTTGTATACTATATTATATATATATATATATATATATATATTATATTTTGTTTAAAAATGAGTTATTGGTTGTTACAAATTTGATTATGGTTCGCATAAATTTTGGACACCGACCTCATTTAATTGTTTTGAAAATTTGGGTTTGTCCATATTCACCATAAAAGCATGTGGGTTCTCCCTTTGGGGGGGGGGGGCGCCAAAATTAGTGTTAATTTATTCGTTTTCGTCAAAATATAACATTAGAGAATAGATTATGACATCTTACGTCAAAGACAACTCTGCTAATGTTGTCTCGATTAGCAATTAGGTTGCTAACAAGAAATTCGGTGGGAGTTAATATTTATGTTCCCATCAAAATTTCGAACAAAATTAACAATTTCGAAAACCCATTTCTTTGCCATTTACTAGCAATTATTGGAATCATCTTCGACATCTAATTTTGAAAAAAATAAAATAAGATTATTGGGCAAGTGGAAATGCTGACGTAGGATGATGGTGTTTATAAGTGTGTGGTCCCTACATGTAAATAAATGTGATTCCTTTCTCTATGCTTTTTGGTCCCACTGCCCTCACATTCATGCAGACTTTTACACTCACCTCCTCTTTTGCTGTATCATATGATTAGAGGTTCAAATAATCACATAACAAGTTATGCAAATTTGTGCAAAAAAGATTCAAGATTTGCAATTGGGTCATTGCCCATATTGATGATTCGTTACAAATCTTTCAAAAATATTTGATCAGGGACTACGGCGGAGGCGGAGGCGGAGGCGATTCATACGGCGGCGGATTCGGAGGCAGCGGCACCAACAACATTGGTGGAACCCAAGGCGGTGGCGGTGGCGATGGCGGTGGCAGTAGCAGTGGCGATAACAACATCTTCGAGATGATATTTGGGAGCCACGCGCCACCACGCGCCGGTGGGAGCGTCTCGTCCTCAACCGCTCTGTTCTTGTCTTTGCTAACGACTTGTGTTGCGTACACTCTCGTGACCGGCCGATTTGATGCTGCATTGTCATCAACTCTATTACTGTAGCAGATGATTAAGATGGGTTTTTTTATATTTATTTTTGCATATTTAAATGAAAGGAAAGAAAATTTGTCTGAGGGTCCACCATTATTTCCCCTTGGCATGTGATACGATATGATATGAAGGCACAGTCCAAATGCAAATGTATTTACATCGATCCATGGTTTTCCATTAGGGTTCATAGAAAAAGACGTCGAATATAAATTCAACACTACACTGACTTAACACAGATTACAAGATCGATCTCTCGTGCAAGGATCTATAGAGAAGTTAACCAAGAAAACAGTGATCTTCTCCCGGCTTTTCAGTTGCCGGTGGAATCCGAGGACGCAGCGTCTTGTTCGAGCCGCTGCCAAGTAAGCTGCCGCCTCTGCGACAATTCAGAGGCCTTGGCCTCGTTCTCGGGATGTTGCTTCTCGCACTCCTCGAACAGATCGGAGTCCATCTCGAGGAACATCCTCCGGACGTTCACCGAGAGACCGTGGACGGCCTGGTTCCAGTGCCCTTTCATGTTCTTCTCCAAGGCCTCGAAGATTATGGGGAATATCGTGTCTTTGTTCTGAGCGATCAGTCCTACTATGTGCTCGTTGTTCCACAAGAAAAGGGCTCTTTCCGCTACCTGCATTCCGTACATCTTTATCAGAAGCTGAGTTCCTTCACGGATGAACCCTAAACTGACCAATGTAAACAAAGTTACGATGCTCTTGTTCGGAATATAACTTTTCTATAACCGAACTCGAATATAACCAAACCAAAATTCGGAATGGCCACCTCTACAGACATGTGATGAGAACGAGAGAATAACCTGGAAATGGGAGCTATTAAGACATTTTCCGATCTGTCTGAACAGAGGAATGACGAATTGTTGGAACTCCGAAGGCTCGGTGGCATCCAAAATCTCTTCCAACTCCCCCAAGAACAGAACCTCCTTCTGGCAATTCGTTAATGGCCAATACTTCAGTAGTCCCCTAATCACAGTATCCGCCAATCTGTAATCTTTCTCCACGAACTGCGTCACGCAAAACGCTAACTGCTGGTGATAAACCGATATGCCCTTCGGCTTGTGGAGCGGCAGAATCACCTTCACTAGAAACAGTCTGTGTTCTTCCCTCATTGGAACCGTGAATCCAGTGATCACACTCCCTAGTATCTCCAGGAGTTCTCCGATTCCGACACATCTCTCTGTCTCGTACAAGAATCTGTAGAAGATGTTGTATATCGAGTTTCTGATGAAGGGTCGATGGAATATGAACTTTCCGTATATCCTGTGAAGAACCGTTTTCAGGTATTCCCTTTCCCTCGGATCCTCCGAATCGAAAAGATTGAGCAAACCCGAGACGAAGACGTGGCTTATGAATTTCTTCGCGGTCCTCGTCTCGATCTCGGACGATACGACGTACCGCAGGAGAAGCTCGTAGACGAGCTGCAAGTGCGGCCACGAGGGCTCGAGGAAAGTCTCTTCCTCTTCGGGATCGTTCCCTTCGGGAGGAGCCCCCGTGTTTTCGTGGTGAGCCGGAGGGAGACAGCGGAAGATATTCGCGGACACCATCCTTATCAACTCCCCTTGCATCGTCTCGTTAACTTTGCCCGAATTCGAGTGGAGGAAATTCACGAGCTCGAGCAATGTCTGCCTCTTGATCTCTTTCTCTCGAGGCATGATCAATGTATCCGAGAAATCGCAGAGGCAGCTGCACATATGAGCCTTCTTCATGAAGAGCATTGCCCGATCCGACGAGGAAACGTCCTTCAGAAGGGGAAGAACTTCGAGGACGGGAGCCGATGCGAATATCGGATGGTTCGGGGTTCGGGACGGGGATTGACCCACGGATTGCGAATCTCCGTTGTTCCCGGACGCAGAAGCCGTGTTCCGGCCGCCGAATAGGACGTTGCCGGAGATATCTTGGTGGTGTTGATCCGATTTGTTGAATTTCTTCTGACCCAGTTTCATGATCTTGTTGAACATCTTCTCTGTCTCCTCGGTTTCCCAAGATTCTCCAAGTTTTTCTCGTTCAATCGCCTGATCGAAACCCTTGATTCGGTTTTCTTGCTCGTTTCGAAATTCTCTCGGGGATTTCGAATGATTTCACATTTGCGTATGAAGAAGTTTTACCTCTTTATGGTTGGAATGATGGGGAAATCTGAGATCGTAGAAAGGGGAAGCATTTGGGGGGTCACCCAATTGGGAATTATGTTTGGCTAACGAGAAAATGAGAGAAAAGTTCATTCTCCATACTCGAAGATGATTCAGGATGATGACACGAGACGGGAAAGTTCGGTTTCTTTTTTTTTTTCTAGAGAGAGTTTTTGTTTGGTCGGAATTTCAAAATTCAGTTATTTAGCCAAACTCCCACAGGATTAATATTTTCATAATGACCCTCTAATTTCTAAACATTTATGAATTAACCCTCTAGGAACCTAATCACTCAAACTTTCAATGTATTCGCAAAGATTATTGCCCCTTGTTCAAAATAATTGACATATTGCTTGTCTCTAAATCGATAATGGCGCTACAAGACTTTAGGTTCTTAATTGCAGAAGAAGAAGAAGAAGAGAAGCTTCAGCTTGAAGCAGAAGGTTTGAAAAGAGATTTCGTTCATTATAAAACGCTAAAATCTAGAGAATGAAGAACCATTTTTTTTTTGTTATAAGGAAGACGAATTCGGAGGTAGAATCGAACTATTATACGAAGGAATATTGGCATTTGATTACTGTATGGTTCAGTTGTTTACACGGTTTGGTATAGTTTTTATTTTGGTTTTGTAGATAGCTGGTTCTGTTTTCATTCTATTAGAGTTGTAGTGTGGATTTTTCGGTTTTTTGGTTTTTTAAATGTATCTAAATTAGGGGTGATCGTTTCAGTATCCGATTCGGTTCGGTTATTTCGGTTTTACAAAAATAGATACCAATCATTTATTATATTATATTAGGTTCGATTTCGGTTTTTATTAAAAAAAATAGATATTCTTAAGAAAATTTCTGATTTTCGGATTTTTTTAAAATTCGGTTCGTATCGATTCGGTTTCGGAAAATTCGATTTTCAAAAAAAAAATATCTTTCATTAATTTTGAACGGTTTGATTTAAGAAAAATACCTTAATTTTTAACTAGATACGGTTACGATAAACCATACCAAAACATTCATCTCTAATCTAAATATAGTATTTTTATTAAAATAAAAATTCAAAAATTATTCCAAACTTTTTGCTTTTTTTATAAAAAAAATATGATATATGAGTTCTCTATAGCTTCTGTTTTTTTTTCTCTTTTTCTTTTCATTCATATTTGAATTTGATTATCCATTTCTTAAATAAATTCGGTGCATATTTCTTATTCTCCATATTCTTCGAATTATGTGTTACTCAATTGAGATCCATATTTGAATCCTCGATTTGGTATGATGCAGATTTTTCCAATTTAAATCTTGTACATGAAAAAACAAGTTGGTGATTCAAATTATAATCTTTAATCTGTTTCGACTTTTCTCTCCATGCTTTTCTGTGGATGGGATGTGTTTGCAACATTTTCATCTCTCTTTTTATTTTAAATTTTGAAATTTATAAATTTTGCGTTTGAAATTTTTCATACCAATAACTAGGGATGTCAAACGAGCCTGCTCGGACCAGCTCGTTTCGAGCCAGTTCATTTTCAGCCCAGCTCGTTAAGCCCATTTTTATTTGGATCAGAAAATTCCTGGCTCAGCCTAAGTCGCTTAGCTCGCGAGCCAGCTCCCGAGCCGGCTCATATTTTTCTAAATATCTAAAAAAAATCATATCAAATTATATAAAATCATTTCCAAATGATATATCAACATAAAAAGAACATACCAATACATTCAAATCATACTTATATTCACAATCAAAATCCATATACAAAAAATCATTTCCAAATAGACAAAATCATAATCCATCTATGTATAAAAAACCATTTTCAGATCTTAATCCATCCATATACAATTAGATCTTAATCCATATACAAAAAACCATCTTCAGATCAAAATATCATACCAACAATATCAACACTTTCAAGTTTCAACATAAAAATTTTTTTAACTTCAGCTCCCGAGCCAGCTCACGAGCCAGCCGAGCTAGTTCGTTTGGGTTCAGCTCGTGGTGAGCTGGTTCACTCAGCCCATTTTTATTTGGGTTCAGATATTCTTGGCTCGGCTCGCTAAAAAAGGAGCCAACCTCGAGCCGGCTCGCGAGCTCGGCTCGTTTTGACATCCTACCAATAACTCGTGAACGTTTTCAATATACAGTGGATGTACATGGACCAGAAAATGGATCACGTGGGAAATATTCTCGCACGTATGTGTTTTTGCGTCCACGCTTACGACTCGTAGTGACGACATCTCACGACGAGGATAGCCCTAGATTTCCCGCATAATTACAAACTTATCCATAACCATAAATATATATAAATAAAACCATTAAAATCAAAATGGAAAAAAAGTCCAAAGCAAAGTCGTCCACTTGCAATAATTATGCTTTTATATATAGAAGATATATGTTCAAAGCCCTTTCACCACACCAACTCGCAAGCGAGGCGACCCAAAACACTAAAAGACAAAAACTCAATCACACACTAAAAGATATAATAATAACGCAAAAAAAAAAAGAGATTTGTAAAGTGTGAACAAAAAAATAGACCGTATTTTCAAAATGTGCCAAAAAAAATTGTGACCTTTGCTAATTATATATATATATATATATATATTTAAATATCCTTAAACAGTGAAGGTTATCTTTTTCTCTCTTTAAAAAAAATCAAACTGTTTTTTTTATTTAAAGGCGATTTCTGAGTATTTTTAATTTTTTATGATTCTATTGTGATGGAGCTTTAGGGTTTTGAAAATAAATCTTATTGATTCACAAATGATAATTACGAGAAGTATATACAATTAGAGAGGAGAGATTTTAGGAAAGATTACATAAGATTAAATCAATCAGAAAAGATTAGAAAAGATTTTCCTAGATACGTGTATAATGCTATCATGCCCCCGCAAGATCGGTCTCAGAAGCAAGGCCGATCTTGGTACGAAGAAGGTCGAAACGTTGTCGGGGAAGTGGCTTTGTGAGAGTGTCTGCGAGCTGATCAGATGAGGAGACGTGAGCTACACGGAGTTTCTTGGCTTGTACGAGACCTCGGATGTAGTGATAATCGATAGCAATGTGCTTCATGCGTGAATGAAATACCGGATTCGCCGAGAGATAGGTAGCACCAATATTATCACAGTAAATCACCGGCATGTCGGGTATTGGAATTCCAAGCTCGGAGAGAAGAGATAGAATCCATTGGACTTCAGAGGCAGTGGAGGAGACAGATTTGTACTCGGCTTCGGTAGATGACTTCGCCGCAAACCGTTGTTTCTTCGATGACCATGAGATCGGGTTCTTGACAAGATAAACAATGAAAGCACCGGTGGAAGTAAAATCATCACGATTACCTCCCCAATCTGCATCCGAAAAGGCATGAAGAATGGGAGAGGATGTGCTGGAGAGAAAGATTAAATCAATCAGAAAAGATTAGAAAAGATTTTCCTAGATACGTGTATAATGCTATCATATTGCATTTTCCTGTTTAAAAAAAAAATACAAAGAGCTTGACAATAACTAATTCCCCACTTGGTCAGTAGAAAAATTTGCTTACAAAAGTATTTCACCGCTCGTAAATTCGTAAATAAAATGATTAGAATTGTACTTTTAATCTTCCCTACGAGATATTTTCCCCATTGCCATCTCCATCTCCGCGGCTTTCGCCTCCTCTCTGAACTTCTTGTAGATATCGCTCTTGTAGAATTTCTTCGTCCTCGCCACCAAAACGGCCGACACCAACACTCCGAACAGCGTCACGGCCGTTATTATAATGAACGAAAGCTTGAAACATTCGGTCCCGTTGCACGTCAAGTCCTCGCCCTCTCTCCGTTTTAGTCCCAACGCTCGCATTTGCTTCTCGGCCTCCTTGTCGTACAAATGGCCCGCAACCCGAACGTTGAGCAGGTACGCTCCGATCGGGCTCGCCACGGACCCGAAGTTATACAACGTGGAGTAGTATTTGAGCCCGAAGATCTCGGATATTATAGCGAATAGGAGCGGCCATTGCGCCCCGAAGCAGAACCCGATGATCACCGAGGCGACGTAGAGGCCGCCCGGAACGTTAAAGGCGATGAGGAGGTGACCGATGCAGGATATGAAGAGGATGATGGTGAGGAGTAGCGGCCGTGGGAACTTGTACTTGATCAAGAAGATTTCGGACACAACTCCTGAAGTCACGCGACCGAAGTAGTTCCATATGCTTACGAGGGATACGAACGTGCTGATGCTGCGTTTAGGGTAGCCGAGAGAGCCTCCGATCTGTCCGAGGTTGTCTATAGCCGTCAACGTCCCTCCGACACCGCAGATCGTGGCCAAGAACAGGATCAGCATGTCGACGCTGAACAATGCTTGCAAGATCGTGTAGTCCTCTCCTCTATCCGGAGGACTAAACACCGTCGTCCAGCACGAACGCGACTTCGCCTTCTCCTCCTTCTCCTCCTCGTTAGAGACATCCTCGTTCTTGCTGTTGTCCTTGTTGTTTGTGTCTGAATCTATGGCGGCGGGCTTCTCGGTTATGATATCGAGAGGCGAGGGATCGTTCAAGGCGGATTGTTTCTCCTTCCAGAGCCTCTGTTCTTCGATGACAACCACAATGATCGGTAAGAGAAGCAGCAAGATTACGACGCCGGCACTGCCTCCGTACTCGCTGCGAGTAAAACCGGAAAGTTTGTCGGTGATGATGACGATCATGAGGAAGGTCGCGAGCCCTAGAGATATGTAGAGGAAGTTGTAGAACACCTTCAGCTCGTTCGGTTGCCGGACAACTCTCATTATCCTTATCGTCCTCAAGAACGCGAAGGAGATTGCGGCTGGTAACCAACCTGCAATTGTCACGATCACACAAACGGCATTCCCATCAGAAAGGGTTGATCCTCGTTTTTTTCTTGGATTCCGAAAGAAACCCTTTTCGCTAACCATGTTCTGAAGCCAAACTAAGCGCAAGATCATATAAACAGATCGAATTTGAATGATCAAGATCCTGTTTTTTCTATCGATCTCAATTACAAGCCTTCTAATTAAGATTCGAAGCTGTAAGAATCAAGAATCGTTTCAAACTAGTTATTGTGGTCAGCCCTTGTCTCGTCTCGCCCACATAACCAAAAAACAGAGCACCCAGATGAGGTCAAAGACATACCGATCAACAGGATCAAAGACTTGGTATCGTCTCCATAGAAAGCATGGTAAAGCTGGGTGATGATGGCGCCGCTGAGGCCGACATAACCCTTGAGAATCCCCAACACAACTCCCCTAGACTCCGGGAAGTTTTTGACGCACGTGACGAGAGCTCCCGTGTTGGCGAAAGACTGAGAATTCGCGCCGACACAAATGTACAGACACATGTGCCACACGTGCGGTTTAGGGATCCGCTTCGTGACGGCCAACCAGATCATGAAGTAGCCGAAGAAATTGAGGATCGCTCCGATGGAGAGGACGACCCACGGGGGGGTGACCTCGTTGATGAGACCCGACAAGACACCGACGTTGGCTCCGAGGTCTTTGAAGAAACTGAGGAGGTTGAGCGTTGTTTGGTCGTAGCCCAACGTGTGTTTGATCTCGTTTGAGTACAGGCCGAACATGTACGTTGCTCCTGCGGTAGACATGATGAGAAGACTCGCGAAGAACATGAACCATCTTCCGGTCATGATTTGCGCCGCCAGGCTCGTCGCCGGAGCTCCGCCTCCGCCGGGACTCGCCGCCACCATTTTCGAGTGTGAGAGCTCTTGTTCTGTGTTTGTGAAGAGGTTTTTGATGGAGTTTTTTGGGTGGTTTCTTGTTGGGTTTTATAAGCACGAAATGGGCGTGACAGAGAGATGGAGAAGAGAAGACCGACGTGTTATGGTTCGTCGTTGACTTGGGATAGTGAAACTTTGGAAAAAAAAATTAGATTTTGGATATTGGATATATATTATATGTAATGAAACATGTTTTACATTTATTAAAAGGGTATTGCTGCAAAATCTTCCAAAAATCACGATGATTCATTCCACTAATAGATAATATTGTCCTGATACAAACTTTACTTTTTATGAAATATATATATTAATGCTGGTGTGGATAATTACTAATAGCAAGTAAATATAATTTTAATAAAGGCTGTCTACAGATACACCAAGAAAAGGTATAATTTAATAATTATTGTCTACTATGATTGTAAACTCATATGGTCCTGAGTGGGGACCACAAAAGATTTTCCATTCTTTTAAAAAAATAAATAAATATAGTTTTTCATCATTTAATGGTTCAATGGAATGTATAAATTAAAACCTACTTGTTCTTATTTCAAATTGCATTGGGAAAATTCGACAATGCGATGGAATCTATTAAAAGAAAAAAAAATACAGTTATTAATGAGAATCCCGTAATTAAAAAAAATTAAAATACTTAAATCGTATTCACAATTTTTAAGAAACTGAAAAAAAATCATATATATTCTTATTTAAAAGTGAAATATAATTAATATTTATTAAGTTCATTAGAATTGACTAGTTTTAACTAAAGAAAAAATTGAAAATTATTTAAAAAATCTAAAAATGATAACTAGTTTGAAATAAAAAATTTTGTCGATAGCGTCAACTATCGAGAATCCGAGGGAGTATAAATTAGCGGAGTCATGACAATTTGTGGTATATATATATACACACATATATAGTAGAGGTCGTGTAGTCTTTTTTTAATACATTAAATTAAAATCACTTAATTAAATACTAATCTGTACCAAACCAAGTCGGTCAGTAATGGATTCTTTGACTTGACTGATAAAATAACATCTAGAAACATTAACATTTTTTTAATCCAATGGTTATAATAAATAACTATTATTCGGAGAAATTATATCATCTGAATTGATTAAGGTAATCAACGGTCAATCATTCAGGGTTAGCTTAAGTGATAAACCAATATTTTAAAGATATATACATCCAAGCGTCGAGTTCGAATCCTCACGAATTAAATACGATTTACATCTTTAAAAAAAATTATCATATAGTATATGTTAATCTCGAATTAATTTGTATTAAGTATAAATATATTATATACTACCATTTAAGAGGATTGATTGAGTTTATATGATTGATATCATATATGAAGATTTTTGTAATGAAATTCATATATTAATGATACAAGAAATAATATATAACATTATGAAAATCCGAAGCGAAACAAAACCAAGTTAATTAGAAGTATATTTGTCCAAAATTAAAAAACCATTAATACAAAAAGAATAACACGTTTCACATAAAAATGTGTGCATCAAATATCCAAACGTATTGAATTCAACAGTAAGAATAACTTTGAAATAAATATTTCTTTAAACATATTTAAGTTTCCAAAAAATTATATACTATTAAAAAAATATACTCTCCTAAGAGATACACACACGAGGCAAACAAACCTACGTTGTGAAAGGTGGAGCACATGTCCCCTCTCTAATTAAAAAAAAATGGTAATTCTTACATAAATTTTATAAAATTACGAAGAAAATTATCAAATACCCCCATAAAAATATCATTTGATTCTATAAAATGAATATCCTTCTTATATTTTTTTTAGATTCGCCACTATATATATATATATATATATATATATATATATATTTATTGAGATGGTCTCGAGTTGATCTTCGATAGTTAATAAAAACAAATCTTAAAAACCTAATTGGTGTATATTTATGTTTATTGTGTTTCTACTTTTCACCAAAGTTAATTTAAAATATCATAACACACACACATATACATATATATGTATATGATAATCAAAATAAAAAAGGCTAAAGGTTTTATTTCTCTTAATTTGACCGCAGTTTGAATTCGTGTATCTTTGCCAAGTAAATGTAAACGAAGAATCTTATATATTCGAATGAACAAAAAAAAAAAGAAGGTAAGATTCTCTTGGGCATGTGTTAGGAGCAGTGTATCTTAAAATACTACATATTTATTTCCTATGCGAGAAACGAATAATTAAAAAAATTCAGATTCGATTTTATTTTCATCGACATATTCTACGTATAGTTCCTATGATCATGCAAAAACAAAGCATACTTTATAGAAACAGACGTCATGCATTTTGAAAACTAAACCCTAAGAACATTGTGACGTGCAAACTACATACATATATATACGGACCATAAATATCGGGAATATGTCTTTCCTCATACAATTCGCCTGATTGATTAGTAAACTAATTTTGAGTTATGTAATTATAGTGATGACCAAATTATATAAGTATTATAATTTGATAATATTGTTGAATAGTCGACCGGTGGATATATGTCTAACTCATGAAGTGTTTTGATTCCACAAATAAACTATAAAGAAGTGTAGGATTATTATGTGAACCGAAGCATCTCTTCCATAATATTTTATTCGTTTATTCTATTTTTTGGTGGGGGAAAGTCATATAAATATATATAGCGAGTTCACGGAAAAAGAAAATTCTACCACAACAAACAATAACAACTAATAATAATAATAACAAAAATAATAATTCAAAGAGAAACAATGAACCACATTTCTTACCGTCATCATTCAAGACAAGATTGAAATGAATAATATATATTGTTCTTTCTAAGTTTATACTTTGTTTTTTAAATTTGGTTTTATCAATGTTCGGTTTCAATTCAATTCACGTGTTTGATTTTTATCTGAAAGTCTAGGATTAGGTTTTATTTGGTGAGTAACTAAATGAATATAATTTTGATAAATATCAAAATTAATTAATTATTAAAGTAAACCAAAAAATCGAGTAAATTAAAATAGGGATTGATTAATAAACCATATAACAAGTCACATGCTGCTTTTTTTTTTCTAACTCCAAAATAAATTGTCTTCATTTTTTCTTTAAATTGATACTATAATTTTATTAGAAGTGAGTCCATTTTACTTGCGTATTGGATGAGTGTATTTCTTAATTCTTACAAACAAATGTTGACAATTTCAAAACGTCTATATCGCACTACCAAAACACAAAGACTATAAATTAAATATCAAATCTTATCCTATAGTCGCACATATATGGATATTTCTACATAAAGATTTGAGATTGGTAGAGTTCCATTAAATATTAGGACTCAGTATAAATGTATATAATCAATATTGTTATATCAAATATCGATTTACTCGTTTAATAAACTCTATAATATTTCACTCATATATATATATATATATATATATATATATATGTATGTAACATTTGTAAATAACGAATTGCACAACTAAACACTTGTCTGAAAATTTTAAGTGTGCAAGTATTATGGAATTCTATCTTCTTTAGAGAAACGAAGACTTCTTTGTTACTTTGCTTAAGTCAACTTAAGACTTTTTAAAAGTCATATGAAGACAACATTTTTATGAATTTGAATGCAACAAAAAAAAAGGGAACCCAATACAAATAAAAATGAAAAGAAACGAAAAAAAGATGGACAGAAATTGGTTCTATTATTATTTTTTTAAATATAGGATTCGAATCAAAGTCAATTGGGATTGTAACGGCACTATTCAAATTTAAATAATTTGAAATAAAATCTTGAAAATAATTGGAATCGTAGAGAAGTGGGTGTTCAAATTTATTTTTCCTGTAAAGAAGTCAATGGTTACAAGCTAGAGTCGTAGATGTGGAACCATCCTTCAACTTTCATGATTTCATATTTAATTTTCCAGTCAATGCCTATGAATGTCTATTTCACTTCCATAGCATAAATGTAATTAATGCCCCTTGATTAGATGATTATTGTATACCATGATTTGTCATATTTATTTTAGCACCAATAATATATTTTCGAAAAAAAATGATTTATTGTTATTAATTAATTATGAGGTGTTAGATGCATAGCTTAGCATTGGTAGTTATTTTTTTTAATAAAACTTTGTTGTATTATTCATTCAACCAAATAATATATATATATATATATATATATATAGATATAAATATAGAGTAAACTTAATCTCACTAGAAAATTATAAATTAGTTCTATTAGGGCATTAGCTAATATTAATAAATTGAACCAAATTACTGTATAGATGATACTGTTGTTTAAATTGAACGAAATGCAACGGCGAGAATATAAATGTATATGCCTAAAAACCGATCGTGATGTTATATCATCACATTAATTTATCACGTCATCGTTAAAAAATACAACCTAAATTCTTATATGTACACATACATACATACATATGATATGTGTATGTGTATATATGTTATGTAATGTATGAATGTGTATGTGTATATATATAAACATATATATATATATACACATATACATCCATACATGCATACATATACATATGATGTGTGATGCATGTGTACATATAGGTGCGTATGTATATGACATCATCATGGTTATAAAAAAAAAATATACATATTCATATTTATGGGCGAACGAAGATTTCCACGATTGATTTTTTTTTGTTTGACTATGTATCGAACAAATATCAGAAATAAATAATAATTCCATTCGCGTTGCATGTCCATATATATATATATATATATATATATATATATATATCACTTTGGAACGAGGTTCAACAATATCTATACATACGATATGCATAGACCGGAGACTAATCATCTGATTACGGTAATCTCAAAACACAAACAAAACAAAACATCAGATGTAGAATCGGATTTCTATTCACCCAATTCACAAAATCCAAAAGAAAGGTTCCATTGGTTGGCAATTTCTTTTCTTGTCATTTTTCATTCACCTACCAACGATCAAACGAAGAGGCTCGTTCCACAGCCCGGCTCGGCCGGCTGTAAGGACCAGGCCGAGCTCTCTGGCCTCTCCCCTCATCCCGTGGTGTTGGCCTCGCTGCCCCACCGTACCTGTCATTCATCCCCCTCGCGTAAGAATCCCTCTCGTACCCTCTCACTTTCCCGCCATATCGTTCCGACCCGCCATACCTATCCCCCCCTAACCGATCTCCAGGTGGCACGGCGTACCTGCAGCATCATTGTATCGAAGATGAGGACAGTTTCCTTCCCAAAAAGACAAACGACACAGTGTCTTGGACCACAAAACCAAATTGGTATTTGGTTTTCAGTTCATACCAGGTTTAAATGAGATCCACAAGTTCTAGTTCCCACAAACAAAAAAATGTGGATGAAAACACTTACCTTTCGAATTCATATTGATCACGAGCTCGTCCATATCTGTCTCCCCTCTCTAAACGGTCCCTGACATTATAGGTTCCACCACCATATCGTTCATCCACGTAACGATCACGTTCCCAGAAGTGCTCACGATCTCCAAAGTGATGATCTCGGCGTCCATTTCCATTGAATTCACCGGATCTAGAACGCAATGATAACAAATCTCTTGGACCGCTTTGCCCGGCACCAATTGATGGGCAGTCTCGGGCCCAATGGCCAGGCCGTCCACACTTGAAGCACTCGTCCTCAGCTATGGCGGGTGCTCCTCCCCTATAGCTAACCTTGCCACGAGATGAGTAGCCAGCACCCCCTCTTTGAGAATGATCTAAATCATCTCCCCCAATCTTGGGTTCGGCTTTGTTCACAGAGATGACCCTTTCACCAAACTCCCTCCCATGCATATGCTTAATTGCATCATCTGCTCCTCGGCGGTCGGAAAATGTGATAAATCCAAATCCACGTGAACGACCTGTCTCTTTCTCCACCATGATCTACAAATGTACACCGAAAGTGATGACGCCATTAAGTAGCTTAAGTGCAACCAAAACAAGAGGTAACAAGGAAACCACGTTCTCATATGGAACCAACAGACCAGGAATGACATAGCATGGACATAGAAGTAAATATATGTTTTGTCTTCTTCATGCAAGATACCTCGCAAGAACGTTAGATTCTGAACAACACAAAAGTTAACTAATTTATCCTGAAAAGTAAATATATGTTTTTTACATTATAAACTGTTCCAAGTCAATCATTTGGTGAAGGTGATAAACCATTGGCAGAAGAAGAAAGTATAAACGAAAGACAAGCCACCAAAGTATAAGATAAGGTTTGTCTGCTCATAAAAGTACAGAGGAAACCATCAGTACACATAAAAGTCATGATTCGAAACACTCGGTCACATAACAGCCAAAAACTGATTGGCAACTCTATGTGTCATGCAGAAGCACATTTTCAAAGGGAAAGTTATGTGGGAAAGAAAGACTTTTGCAGCTTTCTTTACATTGGTGAAAGTTAGTCTACAATCTTCCTTATCGGAAGTCTATGAAATTCAGAACAATGAGTATCAAGGAAGAAAACATGATAAATCCGTCTGCACCAGATGTGAAATTAGAAACAAAGGCAATAAGCAGATAGCTTACGTTACCGTTTGTTATAGAATGCAGCAGAAGTGGCACAATCAGAAAAATTCTCAAGCAAATAGACGAATAGCAAGACTCTTTCGTCTGATAACGGGTGATCTTCTACCATATTACTGACTTAGTAGGAATATAATACTGATGCAGAATAATCATCAGAAAACGAATATCAAATATCCTTCTCAGTGCTCTCATCACTACAATGCAGCAGTTGCTCTTTTGAAGTCTTCATAATCACATACCACAATGTCACAAAGCAATGATCTGCCTGTACCTTGTTTCTTGTCTCCAACTTTATACGGCCACAACAATGAGTGTCATAACATCATTTCTCAAGCTAAGTCCGCTAAAAGAAAGGCCGGCATTCTGAACATGACATTTATAGACCAACCAGGCAACCATTTATCATCTCGTGAGTTCCTTTCCATCAATATTAATTAGTTAGAAATGCTTCAATATCCCGCCAATGGTACTTCGAGGGCATAGCGAAATGATCTCATAGAGACCATTTCAGAGATACTACTGAAGGCGGTACCTCAATCAAATCAAAAGGGCAGGAGGGAAACCAGCTCCAGCTACATGCATATGGCACTGCCCTGATTGATGTTTTAGCAACACAAAAATAAACATGCTTGGCTGCAACAGTTGAAATATCTTAGTGACCACCAGGTTCGATCATGGATTGGTTACTGAGGTATTTTGGGTTTCATCCAGACAAAGCTCCTACATTCCCAGATCCATGGTTCACTCCAAAACACAGATTCGAACATGGGTCTCTGAAATTTCCAATTGTCCTTCGAACCACTCGGCAAACAAGACAACAACAATGCAGGACCAAGCAAAGAACGAAGACTCAAGGAACATAAGGCATCTGATTTAGAAAAGCGGATCGGAGACCTGACACTCGACGATTTTGCCGAAGCGGCCAAAAGTGTGCTCGAGCTGTCTCTCTTTGACGTCCCGCGATAATCCTCCCACGAAGATTCTGTTCTCCAGCTTGCCTTCTCCTTCTCTCTCTCTCTCATCGTGCAATCTCACTGCGCCAAAAGAGAAACAAAAAAACGATTAACCAACCAAGATTCACTTAAGCTAACCCAAACCCTAAAATCCGACTGTTCCCAAATAAAATTTCCCAAGAACCAGAACCCCCTCGTACTCATAGACGTCTGATTTGCAAAATTTCCACCACAGAGACGACGAGTTAGGTAAGGAAATTTTATGGGCTTCGATGAGAGGAGAAACCCTAAAAGGTTAAAGACTTAAAGAAGAAGAACCCCTGCATTGACGGGTTGTACCTTTGTATCCAGAGTACAACATTATTTGGACTGTAGGTCATTTACTAAAACACCCTTAACTGATTTTTATAATTACTAAAATCCTTTAAACCCTAATTCCCGTCTCCTTGTTTGTTTATCGCTCTTGCGCTTGAAGTTGCCGGCCCTGTGACTACCCTTGCAACACTGACGGTACGAAATCTCTCTCCGTTTGTTCATTCTGTGACAAATTTCTTCCTTTGCAGGTTTTCTTTGGTTCTTTTTGAGTTCCAAATCAAGGGTTTGAAGTTTTGTAGTTATAGGTTTGTTGCCTCTGCAGATTCGAAGCATCGAAAATGATAAAGAGACGATTCTACAGGCTTGAACATGGTGAAAGAGACAGTGGATCCGATTCTTCTTCCTTCTCTTCTGACTCCGAGGTTGAGACAGAAGATTTAGCAGAGTCCGAGGATGATGTCGCTGCAGAGGTGTCGGAAGATGATTCTTTGTCGGAGCGTAACGAAGAGGATGATGAACCCAGCCCTGCTTCGTCAGGTTTAATTCTCTCTTCTCCATTACATGATACATCTCTCTACTTCTGTGATTGTACGTAAGAACAGAGAATGGCTTGAAAGCTTGCACACTCTTTTCGAAGTAATTGACGAGTAACACGAAAATCGCCTTCCTTTTCCTTTGATTGAATGCATCGAAATTGGTTGATACGCTTTCTTTAGCTGTCTCTGAGTATTGGAACTTGCTATGGCAGGTCCTGTAAATGCCGATAGTCGCAGTGACAACGTTAACGTTGATGTTGGTGTTGATGATGACGATGACGATTCTGATCATGCTGATGAATATAGAGAGAAAATGAGAAAGACGAAAGTATCTTCTCGACCTGGTTTTGAAGCACTGTCTACTAAATTTGATGCTGTGGGTGAGAAGGAAGAACATGACCAAGATATCCCAGATTGTATGATAAGATGCAAGTCAGTTTTCAAATGCAGATACTGTCCAAATACCATTTGTCTGAATGATGCAACGATGCGAGCACATGTTGCGTCAAAGGTAAAAAGATGAATCTTTCTTGCTGTTTCTGAGAAGAACTGGAATTTTATCAAGAACTTATAATATGATGCATCGCTAGTGAAGTGTTGAACTCGTTTTATTGCGTGATTCAGTTTATGCATTGTGTTAGGTGTTGTTTGACCTTTTACCAGACCAAATGAAACAGATTATAATGCAGTTTCTCTTCAAGATTACACATTCAGAATAAGGGCTTGTTTTCATTGCAGAAACACGCTCGTTCAGAGAGATTACTAAAGCAAGGAAAATCCAATGGCATTGACAGTGATGGAGAAGTGGATAACCAGGAGGTTACTGAAGAGACACATGTTCTTGACGCTAATTTAGTGCAGGTTTTCCATCCAAATCCAATATTTTAGTGAATGTGAAACGTTCTTCTGATGGGTTTCTAACTAAACCTTTGAAAACCAAACCGTAGGAGAAACAGAAAAGGGGAAGCAAGAGATCAAGAAGACAGCTCAAAAGGAAGGAAAATGTAAAGGTATCTTATAATGTACTATGGCCCTTTTGATCATGCCTGGTTTTGGTTCATTAGTCTGTTGAATCGATTTAGATTCATGTGATAGTTTGATGCAAATCTTTCAGGAAACAACCAACAAGAATGGAGAAGATGTGGAGATTGCCAAACTGCCTAAAAAGAAAAGGGCACAGACGAAGGGCTGAAGCCACCGTTCTTGAAGCAATATGCATACGAAGTGGAAAGATTCACCGATTCGCTGTAAGATTACAGAGGAGATGTCGAAGAAGAAGAAGAATGATTGGCTGGTTGGTTGAGTCTAGATGATGATTATATTTGATGTGTAGTGTTACATGGAATCAGATTGAAACTCTAAAAGAGATGTACTTTTGATATTAAAGTTATCAAGTCCATGCAATTTTTGATCCATAAGTGCTGTTACATCTTGGTTTTGTTACGCTTGCAAGGAGCTTCTCGTAGGTGTGTGTCGGTAAGGTCAATTAATAAAAATCGGCAATGTTTTCAAAAACGAATTATCCAAAAAATTTCAATGGTAATCATTTTCAGAGAATTGATTTTACGGATCCGAATCAAATTTTTTTAAAAAATTTAAAAAACAGATTTTAAAAAAAAAGTAGAATTTTCAAAAAATTAAAATCGAATAAAATCGAAATCAATATCAAATCAAATATAATATAATATAATATAATAATCTATTGATATATATATATTTATATAAAACCAAAAAACCAAACTTAAACGATTACGGACCACCTCTCAAGAGAGAAAAAAACCATTTCCTTCGCATTTTAAGAAAATCTAAATCCGTACAAAAAGATATAATAAAGAAAACGTCCCGAAGGGCAAACGACACGTCAACAGCGAAGATCCACGTGTCAATCATATTACTTGTCCGCTACATGCAAACCTCCACGTGTATGTTCTAATGGTGATCTGGATCTCTGCATGCAACTCTTGACTATGTTTTCCCAAAATACCCTCTCTTCTTTTTACTTTTTGAAAATCCAGAACTATACAAGCAAATATAAACTAGATATACATGCATATCTGTATTATATACACATATATTTATAGAGAAGACAAAACGAGCAATTCTCTGGGGAAGTTGAAGCTCCACTGAACAAAAATGGTGGCTAAAGCCCTAAGACCCGCAACATGCACAACCTTCTTCTTCTTCTTCCTCATCCTCGTAACAGACGGTGTCAGCTGCGTGGCATCAGATCATGAGGACCTTGCCATACGCCAAGTCACAGAGGATCACCGCAAAACACTCGTCGGGACCCACACGGAGAGCAGGTTCCGCGCGTTCATGTCGGAGTACGGCAAGAGCTACGAGACGAGGGAAGAGTACGTCCACCGTCTCGGGGTGTTTGCGAGGAACGTCCTGAGAGCGGCGGAGCACCAGATGATGGACCCCACAGCCGTCCACGGCGTCACTCAGTTCTCCGACCTGACCGAGGAGGAGTTCGAGCGCATGTTCACCGGAGTCTTGGCCGCCGACGAAGGCGGAGTTGGGGTCCAGGAGGCAGCGGCAGAGGATGTGGAGATGGCGGAGATTGATGGGTTGCCGGAGGATTTCGACTGGAGGGAGAAGGGTGCGGTGACTGACGTCAAGATGCAGGTATATATATATATGTATAGATGTATGTGTTTCACAAAAAAAATATTTTTTACCAAAAAATATTTATATGTATGTATGTATGTATATGTTGATCGTTCACTTATAATTTACATATGGTTTTTTTTTTTTTTGGTGCGTGAAGGGAGCATGTGGGTCGTGCTGGGCATTTAGCACCACAGGAGCAATCGAAGGAGCTAATTTCGTCTCCACCGGAAAGCTTCTCAATCTCAGCGAGCAACAGCTCGTCGATTGTGATCACGCCGTCAGTATATATAATAACTCTTTTCTTATTTTGATTTTGATTTTATAAAATCCAATAATAATTCTATGTAAATGAAAAGTGCGACACCAAGGACAAGAAAGCGTGCGACGATGGGTGCGGGGGAGGGCTCATGACCAATGCCTACAAGTACGTGATGGAGGCAGGCGGCTTGGAAGAGGAGAGCTCGTATCCTTACACCGGAAAACGCGGCCGGTGCAGGTTTGATGCCGGTAAGGTGGCCGTGCGATTGGCAAATTTCACGACTATTCCCTTGGACGAGAACCAAATCGCCGCCAATCTAGTGCGGCACGGCCCTTTAGCCGGTGAGTTTTGCTATTCGTTTGTTACAAGCTGTCTTTAAGTCATTTATCCTAAAATATTTACTGATTAGGGTTAGGGGTGGGTTGATAAGAATTAACACATGACCTTAATCGATATAAAATTCGAATGGGTATGATTTGTTGAAAACCAAAAAAATTGAATGTGAAATTGAACCGAACCTAAAAACCGAATTGTTATAGTTTTTTTTAAAACCGAACTAACCATATCATTCCTAATTAGAATGTCTCCTACCAATTCATTTAGGTAATTGTCATGGTCGATGAGTTCAATTGAGCATTTTCATTCATGGTAAAATATATTACATGTTTTAGTTTTTTTTTTTTTAATTATTATAATCCAGAAGATCACCAACATGTTTAGTGTTGATTAGAAGAAAACATTGGACTCGGGTTTTTGCATACAAAATGTATAGGTTCACAAATCGGAACTTAACGACAAAGTTAGCATAATTCTCGCATTGAAAGGTTCGGATTATCAATATCGAGAAACCGTAACTCGAGAAATAAGCTAATACCTCGAGGTTATTGCCTGTGTGGTGTGGTGCAGTGGGATTGAACGCGGTGTACATGCAGACGTACATAGGCGGAGTGTCGTGCCCTCTTATATGCAGCAAGAGGAGGCTCAACCACGGGGTTCTCCTCGTGGGGTACGGTTCGAAAGGGTTCTCGATCCTACGGCTCGGAAACAGACCGTATTGGATAATCAAGAATTCGTGGGGGAAGACGTGGGGCGAGAACGGATACTACAAGCTATGCCGCGGCCACGGCATTTGTGGTGTGAACGCCATGGTCTCTGCCGTTGTCACTCAAGTTTCTTCTTCTCCTTGAAAGTGGGGTTCTCTTTCTCGTTGATTTTGCATGATATCATATATAGTGTTTTGTGTCGGAAACATACATGTGTACTTTTGTAATAACATGCATATGCGACATGAATGGTTTTCTTCTTGAAATGGTTTGTTTTGATTGTATCATCTCTACTGCGTTCATCCCAACCATAGGTCATGCGTGGATGGGCGGGAGAACGTAGAAAGTGTAAGTGTTTGTATCGAAACACGCACACACACACACACATATATATATATATATATATGTATGCATTTGTAACCACATGCATAGATGACATGATGTTCATGGTTGACTTCGATGGTGTATGATCTTTGCTGCTTTCTTGCCTGCTATTGCTAATATGCATGAATTGGGGGAAGAATTTAGAAAATGATGGTGCTTGTGTTTAGGGATGATTAATTAATATAATGAGATAGAAAATGATGGTCTTCGTGTTCAAGATTTGGTTAATTAATAATTGAATTGATCCTAATTGATTCAATGAAAAAAAGGTGAGGTTTGTTTTATTAAGTTTAAACAGTTGAATGGTTGAAATTTGTTTTATTATAAGTAGAAATATATTTTATATACAAATTGAATTGTTATAATTTTTTAGAATTGAGTCGTTTTTTTTTTTGTATTGAAACACGTGTACTTTGTGTAACTTATTTATAGTATTAGAAACATTGAATTGAAACTAATGTCTAAGATAACTGTTGGGCCTTAAGGCCCGTTGGCGGAAATACTTCTCGGATTCATCTTCAATTGTTGCATCAAACTTTGAACCTCCGGATGACTACTTTCATCTTCATGTAGATTAAAAAAAATATGTTCTTCTCCCTCCTTTATTTGAAGAACACTTCGTATACCCTGAACATAAATGGCACTTGTAATCAGTGAGAACATTATGAAGGAATTCCTGGGATCTCTAAAGTGAATCCTATTCCTAAGAGATCGATTCTAGGGTTTGCGCAGCGGAAGTAAAACAAAAATTTTATAGAACCCTAGAACCATGCTGCTATTGAATCGTAGAAACGTTAGTTTTCCTTTGGGAAGGAGGTTTCGGGTTTTAACCCGAAACGCAGCGTTTCATCCCGGGAGGAGGTTTCGGGTTTTAACCTGAAACGCAGCGTTTCATCCCGGGAGTTAATGAAACCCTAATACGCGTGAAGACGAAAGTGTGGCGCGTGGCTCGAGGAGAAGTTTCGGGAGAGAGAGAGAAAGAGGAGGGCGATCGCGGAGGCGATCGTGAGGAGAAGAGAGAGAGACAAGGCGGCCGACGTTTCTCGGAGACGACGGAGCTAAGTCGACGGTGGTGCGGTAAGCAAAGGCCGCTTTCGGTAAGTGTCTCGGGTTCTCTTCTCTGGTTGTAAATCGGTGAGCCTCCGACCTTGTGTGGAGGGCCGCCGGGTGTATTTCTCTTCTCTGTTGTTCCTTCCGTATTCTAGTGGATTCGTCGGCACCGTCCGGCCGAGATGTAGGCCCGAGCTTGCTCGGTAACCGAACTCGTTAAACTCCGGTGTCGCTTCTTCTTCTTGCACGAACGAGCGTCGGAGTGGCCGTGAGAACTCGATACCGACTTCACAATAACCAATAACAAGTGTTATTGTTGAATCTTTCAAATTTTAATTCATAATACATTATAAAACACTAACACTTAACTTTTTACTCTACAAATAGGGCGGATCGGCGACGGTGGGAGTAGACCTGAAAGTCTCGGAGTCGCCGGCGGCCAGATCCATCGAGGTGGAGCGTCTGAGATCGAGACTCGGTGAACCAGGTTCGAACCCGGTGAGTCAGGTATGTTTTCTTGACTCGGTTCTTTATAATTTCCGCGTATTCTCCGTTTCAGAGACCGAGTTTCCTTGAAACTCGGTGAACTCGGCGGAGGAGACCCTGATTCCGGCGAAACTCGGTCCCGACTCGTCCGAGTTAGGGTTTGAGTGGAGGAATCGGGTGAGTCAACCACCGAGTCAACTCGGGTGACTCGACGGCTAGGGTTTACGAAATTAGGGTTTCGGATTAAACCCGGTTTACGCCGGTTTAATCGATCCAATCTCGGTTTAACCCGGTTTGGGTCAATCGAATCTGGTTCGAGTCGATCCAAGTCCGGTTATCGGCGGTCAGATCGGGCTTGACCCGGTTCCGTCGGTTCAGACTGGATTCCGGCCGGTTCAGTCCGGCTCAGACCCGGTCCCGGCCGGTTCAGACCGGTTCACTCCGGTTCGGTCAATTCGTTGACCAATTTGGTCAACAGTTGACCGGTTTAGGTCAAATCGGACCGGTTCAGGTCCGGTTTGGGGTCAATTGGACCGGTTTAGACCGGTACAGGTCAATCTAGGTTCGGTTTAGGACAATTGAGTCCGGTTTAGGTCAATTCAGGTCCGGTTTAGGTCAATTGAGTCCGGTTTAGGGCAATTCAGACTAGTTTAGGCTGGTTTAAGTGTCGGTTAAGGTCTGATTTGTCTGGGAAGGGCTAGAATTGTTCGGTTCAGACCAATAAGGTCTGATTGGAGGTGAATTAAGGCCGGTTTAGACTGGTTTAAGTCTAAGGTTAGGGTATGTTCGTCCAATTAGGCTAGAGTTAGACCGTCTAGGTCAATTGGGTCCGGTATTAGGTAAGATCAGATTGTTTTTAGGCTAATAGAGGTCTGTTTAGGATATGATTTATCTGGTTAGGGCTGGTATTGGTCGGGTTAGGATCTGAATTCGAGGTTTAGGACTAGATTAGATCGTTTTAGGGTCTGGAGTGTGTAATTAGGACTAGAACTAACTAGTATAGGGTTAGGGTAGTCCAAATGAGGTCTGATGGTGTCTGGTTTAGGGCATAATGGACTGGTTTAGGGTAGATTAGGGTCTGTAGTGATCGGTTTCCCCTGCTAGGTTGGTCTAGTACTCAATTTGGCTTGGTTTAGTGAAAATTCACTAGGGTTAGACCTGTTTAGATCTCGGTTTAGCTAATGTAGGTCATAGATTCCGGTTTCTAGGCTGGTACAGGTCTAAATAGGTTAGATTTGACTACGTTTAGCTGGGAAGGAGGTCGGGTTAGGCTTAAATAGGCTGGTACAGGTCTGATATAGGTCTGTAAGTGCTAACTAGGGTTAGACCTGTTTAGATCTCGGTTTAGCTAATGTAGGTCATAGATTCCGGTTTCTAGGCTGGTACAGGTCTAAATAGGTTAGATTTGACTACGTTTAGCTGGGAAGGAGGTCGGGTTAGGCTTAAATAGGCTGGTACAGGTCTGATATAGGTCTGTAAGTGCTATTTAGGTCTGGTTTAGCCAAATTTGGGTTAGTCTAGCTTAGTCTAGGTCTGATCAGTAGGTAATTAGGTCAAAATAGACTTGGTTAGGTCTGATTAAGGGTTTAGAATGTCTATAGAGACATTGTCTAGGTCTGATCAGATTAGAATCTGATTGTAGACTTAGATATTATCTAGTTTAGGACTAGATAGGACTCCTAAGTACCAGTTTTGAGTCATAGAGTCCGGTACATTGACCGGTTAGGTCTGATTAGGTGGGATTTGACTAAAACGGGTTGGTTTAGGGGTTGGTTA